ATCAATTTATTTTTAGTTTTATTTTATATACACGACATTAACATGAAAAAGAGCATAAAATGAAAAAAGTTATATAAATAAAATATGTATATAATATTCTATATATTCTGATTTACTCTGATGTCTAAGAGGAAAAAAAATGAAGAAAAAAGGTCAAAACTCATTTTCCTCTTGAGTCTCATTCATCTAGAAAATATCTGAAAATATATAAAAGATTGAATCTGAAATCTAAATGATTGATAAGGGAGTCAGCCGTCTCAGTGCAGTGCGGAGGAGAAAGTTCTAGACAGTGAAATTGTAAAAACATCAAGTCCTGGAGCTTTCAGTTCTAGTGCAAGAGAAAAAAATTAATCAGTCTGCTACTATGGAAACGTATGTTGGCAGCAGGAGAAGTAACGTGTGACTATTAGCAAACCTTCCTGTTCAAACAGATAGACATGACGTCTGAAATATCATGCTGCGACCTTGAATATGAGAGTGAAAAAAGCAAGGAATGAAAGAGATGCAATGCTTATTTCAGTCTCTTACAAAAGGCTTGTGAGGAAAATGAGAGTCATTTGGATCTATGAAGCTATATAAATATGGTTTCCTGTTGGTCATCGGTTGTGTTATAGTTTGTCAGTTTGGAACACTTACATGAGCAGACTGCCTGGTGCAGACATGGATCTCTCTTCTCTCCTGCTGGGACACTCAAATGGATTGCCAAAGGAACGCTTCCTTAACATGGCTTTGACCAAAATCTACAGTATCACGGGAAAGAAGGGACAACAAGATTTAGCTTACTGTATATATTAAAGAATATAGATCAGGGCATGTGGAAATACAATACATACAAATACAAAACGTGAATGGAAAAACAGCAGTCAGCTAAAAATACTCTTTGCATTTTCTGGAATGTGATGGTGAGAAGGACTAAATCCATGAAAATAACCAAGGAAATTCTGACAGTTCAGAAGCAGGATCAGTTTGACACGTGGTTAGGTTTCAGTTGTTTGGTTGAGGTCAAGTGTGTCTTTACTTTCTTATTCATCTCGTTGACAGCAGTACAATATCTTAAGCACATCTGGGCAAGGCTTACGGCCTGTGTGTGTTTATGTTCATGTAGCTACAGTAGCTCATGTATTTAATACAGAGACACCCTTGTTCTTTCTCTGTTTCACTTACCACAGCAGACAGACTTGGGACAAACTTCACTGAGTTCTGCACCTCTTCTTCAGTGACCTCCACCACGGTACAGTGCTCCTCTTCTAAAGGCAAAGGGTCAGTGCCATCCTGAGTCACCCAGGGGTCCACCTGAAGATAAACACACACACATATATAACACATGCCAACCTATCATTCCATCCATTTGTCTAGCCATCATCTATCCTTCTATTCATTGATTCATCCACTGATCCTTTCATTAATCCATCCATCCAACCATTTCTATGTCTGTAGATGTGTCCATACATTTTTTCTTCCATCCATTATTCTTTTCGTCCATCCATCTATTGTTTCAAGTCCAGCCATCATATCCTTCCATTTATTCATCCATCTATCAGTCCATCCACCCATTTATCCATCAGTCCATAGATCAGTTTAGACATCTTTTCTTTCATCCATCCATCCATTTATTGTTTTATCCATCTAGTCATCATCTATCCTTCCATTCATCCATCCATCTGACCATCAATTTGTTCCATTCATTGGTCCATCCATCTAACCTTCTATCCATCCGTTCGTTCATTCATTCATTCTACAATAAATCCATCAAACTATCCATTCATGCTTTCATTCATCCATCCATCCATCATATGTCCATAGATCAGACCATACATCCATCTATTGTTTCATCCCTCCAGCCATCATCTATCCTTCCATTCATCTATCCATTGGTCTGTCCATCCATCTGTCCATAGATCTTTTCTTCCACACATCCATCCATCAAGCCATCATCTATCCTTCCATTAATCCATTCATTGGTCCATCCAACCTTCTATCCTTCATCCATCAATCCTCTCATCTATCCATCCATTCAAATGTCCATAGATTGTTCCATATATCCATTCTTCTATCCACCCATCAAATAAGTAAATCATTAAAGAAATAAAATATTTGTCCTACAAACACAGTTAATCTGAAGGATATGAGAGCAGAGCTGTTGAGTGAATGTAGGCCATGCAGCCCTGATTAACGTGTGCTCTGGGGATCGCTGCTTTAATGGAACATTTTCTGGGTAATGACATGCAGGCAGGAGTCTCTGATGGCCGAGTGTGTGTGTGTGTGTGTGTGCTAATTATTCACACTCACTGTCACACTGAGACAGCAGATGGAAGTTTCCAGAACTGAACCAAAATCTCTGTCCATGGGGATTATCTGATGTGTTCCTGTCCAAACACCAAGTCTGCTAGATTGTGCAGAAGCTATCAGAGATACTGTGTCATATTTTAACACTATCCCTGGACGTGGCTCAAGAATGGTCTTTGATAGAAACACTGTTGTTTTAAGAGTGCAGAATAATGGGACACTCTTGGGAATGCTCTTTGGACATTTCTTTTTGAGATACTGACTGTAATTTCAATATTAAGTGATGTTGTACTCTCTTGCTGGTATGCATGAAGGAAAATTCAGGTGATTTTTTAAGGAAAAACACATTAATAAATAATCCTATCCCAATCAAAAAAGTCAAATATGGTCATTCCTTTCAGTTTAAATAGATAAAGTCCTCAGTGAATCTTTGAAACTCAATATATTGCAATACAGAGCTGTAAAGATGGTTAAAGGTATTACTCCTTTCCATTTTATGTAGACTTACTTTGATCTCAGAAATGGTGATCCTGGTGTCTGGGTTTTTGTCCAGCATTCGTGAGACCAGGTTCTTCAGCCCCTCACTGATAGCTGGCCTGAGATATCACAGAAACACAAGAGCAAAAAGCTGAAGCAGTAAAACAAAAACAAAACATCTGACTGTACGGCTAAACATTATTAACGTTTACATGGACATCAGTAATCTAATTATTTACCATATTCTAAATAAGCCAATATTATGATTATGGTGTTTACATGAGTTGCTTTAAGAATATTCCTTTCATGTTCCCGTTTAACATGTTATCCACCTTTTTCTTCAACGCGGAAGTAAGCCTATGGGTGAGACATCCGGTTCATTAACCGCTATAGGTAAATAACGAGGAGAATAACAACGTGCAGTAAACAGTAAAACTGTTTGCACTACAAACCAGTGTGTTCATAAATAAGATAATGCATTAAAATAATATGATAAGACACACCAATTTTCAATTTCAAGCAGCAAAACGAATTGTTTTGTACAGCTAAAAACAGCTGGATGCAGATGAGACCGGAAGCCAGACCCATAGAATTTACAAATGGCCGCGCCCATTTTTACGACAAGAAGAAGGTGGATAGTACATAGTTCGATTAATGGCACACGTCATTACGTCCCACGTGACGCCATACGACGTCCCCTCTGGAATTTCACGTATAAACATATAGTTTGTCTTCGT